GCTTCGTCTTATTCAAGCGGCTTGCGCCATTCCGCCGACCCCCACAAGGAGGAAGGGCTTGAGACGATCGTGGAAGTTAGATGTTGGGTCAGGAGCCTCCTGGATGAATTTGAGGGTCTCTTGGGATGCCTCTGGGGCCTCTTGAATAACTCTTGGGGTCATGTTGGAGGCTTTTTGGTGCGTCGTGGGGACCTCTGGGGGGCGTCTCGCAGGCTTCTGAGAGCCTCTTGGAGGGCCCTCGGGGGCCTCGAGGCGGCTCGAGGGGCCATCTTGTTGGGAAAGGTTCGACATGACGACTCGTATTCCCCGCCTTGGGCTTCCTTGGAACCCTCTTGGGACCCTCCAGGAGCTGTCTTCGGCTGTCCTGTCTTTGGCTCCCCTTGGGCCGTCTTGGGGCCTTCTTGGAGGCATTATTGGCAGTCTTGGGACGATCTTGGGGGCCACTTGGGCCGTCGTGTTCGCTGTCAAAACGCAACATGCGAATGCGCTGAGAATCTCCGCTTTTCTTAAGAGATGATTCTACAGGCTTACGCCACATCCGCCGACCCCTTGTATTCTTTGGTCGCTCAGGTATCAATTCTTTTGTAGTTCCCTTCCCCAGGGGCTCTTGGGGGGTCCTGGGTGCCTCTGTGGGGGATGAGGCAGCGGAGTGGAAAGATAAATAGATGGAGGAAGGTGGGGATGAGGACGCGGCGTCAAGCGGGCCGTGGTAGGGGTCCAGGGATTCATTTGGGTACCACGACAAGGAGTGCGCTAGCTTGCCTGGGTGGCTGCCGCTGGCCAAAGGGATGCCCGTGGCTTTGGGGGATCAGTTGGATCGGTCGAAGAAACAGCTTCTGCGGGGGCGCACGGCCACGATCCATGGATGGGCGCTGCACGAGGACGAGGTCGTGGGAGATGAAGACGAGGAAGTGTTGCTGCATCTGCCGCGAGTGATTGTGTTGGACTTCCAGACGAAGGAGTGGCACCTGCCCGGGTGGGAGCCGGGGCTGTATCGGATCTTCCCATCGAAAGGGCGGCAATGGTTCTTGGACGGGTATCGGAAGCATCCAGTCTTGAATGTGAAGCGCACCCAATTTATGGTAACCCCGGCTTTGGCAGTAACGGCACACTCTGCCCAGGGCCGAACCATGGCAGCGGTGATAGCAGACCTCGAAAGAGGGCGCGGCGTGAGTTGGATGTCCAGTTGCGTTGCCATCACGCGCGCGCGGAGGCGGGAAAACTTGTTGATTTTCAGGCCCTTCGACAGGAAACCGCACAACGCGGGAGAGATGCCAGGCGCGCAGAAATTGTTGCAGGTGCTTCGCGTGGATAAAGTGGACTGGGAGGAGTGGGAGGCGAAGCTGATGCCGCGCGATCAGTGCGGGCGTTGCCGACGACGGCTGCTGGTGGAGGCGTTCACGAAGTGCGAGTTCCAGCGGAAGGAGAGGCTGGCGTTCTGTAAAGAGTGCACCGCCGAGATGAAGAGCCGGGACGAGACATGGTGCAAGACGTGCGGCGGATGGGCAACGACAGCGCAGGGCGATGGAGGCGTGCAGGAGGGCGGCGATGGGGGCGTGGCAGGTGTTGGCGATGGGGTCGACGCGAGAAGAAGTCGGACCTTGTACTGTGTCAAGTGCAGCGGTGTCAAAGGGAAACAGAAGTCTCGCCGTTGCAGCGCGAAATGGGCCGAGAGCGCGGGCAAAGTTCGTTGTTCGAGCGATGGCTGTCTGGCATTATTCCCAGAGGAGGCGGAGATGTCCGAAGCCCAGAAGAAGCACAGAACAGCAGGGGAGAGGTCGTGTCGGAAATGCGCGGAAGAACGTGAGAGGACGACGCGCGAGTCGAATAATAGGAAACGCGTGGGCCAAGTGCTTAGTTCGAGCGATGACTGTCTGGCGGCGTGCCCAGGGGGTGCGGGGATGTCCGATGCTCAAAAGAAGCGCAAAGCAGCAGGGGAGAGGCTATGTCGGAGGTGCGCGGAAGAGCGCGAGAGGACGACGCGCGAGCTGAATAATAAGAAGCGGGGAAACTGAGGCGGACGCTACGCCGCTGACGTGCGCGGCGTGCGGAGGAGCGTTCTCGGTCACGAAACATTTGAAGCCAGCGCAAGTGGAACGTCATCAAAAGACGAAACAACTCAAAGTGGCATGCGGGGGCTGTGAGAAACTCGGGTTCGCAACGCGCAGTTGCCGAGCGTATCAGTGCAGCGGCGCGTGCGAGAGGAGACTGCCGAAGTCGGCGTTTCCGGGGAACCCTGCCCATGTCGCGCGCGACGAAAAGAAGGGCACCCCGAAGTGCAATACATGCAAATGGTGCCCAATCGGGCGCGCGTGCTGGGTAGGAGAAGGAGGGCGGGGAGAGAAGGAGGAGGGGGGGCGGAGGATGGGGGGAGAGAAGAAGCGGAGAGGATCGGGAAAGGAGGAGGGCGGGGAATGCAACGAAGGGAGAGGAGAGGGGGACGAGGAGGAGGTGGAGGAGGAGGAGGAAGAGGAGGAGGGGGATACTGAGATGAGGCTCTGGGTTTTGGGTTATATGTTGGAGGCTTCTTGTTGGTGTATCGGGGTATCGCGGCACGGCTCTCGGGGGCCTTTGGAAGGCAATGTTGAAGCCACCTGGGGGCCGAGGTGGAGGGGGGGGCGAGGGGGGCACAGAGAGAAGGCTCAGAGTCCTGGGTTATGGGTTAGAGGCATCTTGTAGGTGTATCGGGATCTCGCGGCACGGCTCTCGGGGGCCTCTGGAATGTAGTTTTGAAACCACTTGGGGGCCGTTTCGGAGCCTCTGGGGGGTTTCTTGGGGGTTCTTTGGGGCGTCTGGGGAGAGTCTTGGGGGCCTCTGGCGGCCTCTGGGGGCACACTTGGGGCCGCCTGGGGATCCTTGGGGCTGAAAGCTAGCTTTTTGAAATGTTTGGTCGCCCTCTTGGGCTTCTCTGGGTGCAGTTTTGGAGCCCTCTTGGGCCGTCTTGGGGGGCCTCTGGGGCCGTCATGGGGCCATCTGGGGCCGTCTTGGGGCCGTCTTGGGGGTCTCTTGTGCCGTCTTGTGGCTGTCTTCGGGGCCTCTTGGGCCGTGGTGGAGCGTCGGGAAGCCAGAGAGGCAAAAAGGCAAAACGACACAGAAAAACACAATGGAAAATCAACAATTTTAGTCTCTTGAGGCCCTCTTGGAAGGCTTGTTTGGGACCTCTTGGGTCGTCTTGGAGGCCTTTTGGCCAATCTCGGGGCCATCTTGGGCGTCTTGGAGAACATGTGTGGCGTCTCGGGGCCCTGGTGAGCCGTCTTGGAGGCCTCTTGGGGCCTTCTTGCCCTGTCTTGACGCCCTCTTGGGTCCGGAGAAGCCTCGTGGTGCGCTCGGGCCGGGCCGGGGGGGGGGGTCAAATCTCCGGTTTGGGGTCCCGGGGGGGGGTAGGGGGGGGGGAACTATCTCACACGCCTAGAGACCCACAAGGGGTCGGCGGATTTTGGTATCTCGGGCCCTCTCGGTGCTCCTCTGGAGGCGCTTTTGTGCTGTTTTGGGGGCCTCGTGAGCCATCTTGAAGCCATCTTGGATCGTCGTGGGGCTACCCTGGACCGTCATGACGCTCTCTTCGACTGTCCTGCGCTCTGTCTGGGCTCTGTTGGGCTGTCTTGGGGCTTTTTGGGGGATGCAGAGGCCCCAGGGGGTGCGTTGACGAGCTCGAGCGCGCCCCCTCCGCCCCCCCCCGCCCCCCAGAATGGTATTCTGGACCCTAGGGGAGGGGGACATGGGGATGGGGGACAGCTAAATGTCTCACACGCCTTTTCATTTTTGGCAAGCGGGGGTTGGCAGATCTACACCGCCGTGCAATCTGGCTGGTGGTGATGGCGTGGATGCCCGCGTGCTTGCTCGCATCCGTCTCCGATCTAGGGGGGCCTCCAGTCGAGTGCCTCCCATTGGGCGTCTCGGGAGGGGGCCCTCCCTCGCAACTCGGCCCGTCGGCGCGCGCAGAATGCTCCTTCGGTGCTGCGCGCGCCATTCTGGCCAGGGCTTTTGAAAACATTTCTTGATCCTCCTCCTCCTCGACTTTCATCTTCCGCCTCCTCCTCCTCCTCTCCTCCTCGACCCTCCTCGACTCTCGTCCTCCTCCTCCTCCTCCTTCTCCTCCTCGTCCTCCTCCTCACTCCTCCTCCTCGCTCCTCCTCCTCGCTCCTCCTCCTCGCTCCTCCTGGTCGTCCTCCTCGCTGCTCCTCCTCCTCGCCCTTCCTCCACTTCCTCCTCGCTCCTCCGCTTCCTCCTCGCTCCTCGCTCCTCCTCCTCCTCCTGGTCCTCCTCTTCGATCCTCCTCGATTCTCCCCGATCCTCCTCGGGGCGACCGGTCCTCCTGGTCCTCCGCCTCGATCTCCTGGATTCTCCTCGAGGCGACCGGGGCGGAAAACGGGCGGGGGGGGAAGGGGGAAGAGTCCTGAGTCATCGGGGCTGGGGGCAGCCAGGGGTAGCTACGAGTTAGCGCCTCGGGGGCCCAAATCGGAGTTACCCCGGACAGCAGTTACCGGGGAAAATTCGGGCGCCCAACCCTCCCGAATCATCGGGGCTGGGGGCTGGGGGCAGTCAGCGGTGGCTACGGGTTCGTGCCTCGGGAGCCCAGACCAGAGTTACCCCGGACCGCAGTTCATCCTGGATAATTCGGGCGTCCATTTCCGTTGCTGGAGTGCGCCAGCGACACAACGTCCGCCAGTGCTTTTCAGGGCAGGTCCCAGCGCGGAAGCGCCGGAGCGCACAATTGTGCACGGTTCGTGTGTGCCCCCACGAACCCATTCAGAAACGATGCTATGGCAATTTGCTTTCATCAAGAGAAGGGGGGCACCGCGCAGGGAATCATGCTCAGCAATCCGGACGCGTCGAAACGGCTGCCGCGCTCAGAGCGACCACGCTTTGCTGAAAGGACTTGTTTCTTTTAGTTGGAGGTGGAGAAGTGGGAGTCTGATCGACGATCCCCCGCAGGCCAGTGGTGCACCCGCCCACGCAGCGGTACAACATGAAGCTCCGCTTGGGCAAGGGTTTCACCCTCGACGAGTTGCGCGAGGCGGCCGCGGCAGCCCCGCCGCCGTAAGGACGCCGCGCCGCCCTCGAGAGGCAGGGTGAGGATCCACGACGATCAGGGAGGAGGAGGAGGACGAGGAAGAGGAGGAAGAGGAGGAGGAGGAGGAGGAGGAGGAGGAGGAGGGAGGAGGAGGAGGAGGGGAGGAGGAGGAGGATGAGGAGGAGGAGGAGGAGGATGGAGGATGAGGAGGACGGGGATGACAGGATCAGGGAGGAGGAGGAGGAGGAGGAGGAGGAGGAGGAGGAGGAGGAGGAGGAGGAGGAGGAGGAGGAGGAGGAGCAGGAGCAGGAGCAGGAGCAGGAGGAGCAGGAGGAGCAGGAGGAGCAGGAGGAGGAGGAGCAGGAGGAGGAGGAGGAGGAGGAGGAGGAGGAGGCTCCGTCTCGACGCCTGCAAGCCCCTTCCCTTCCCGCATTTCCCCTCTGCTCCCACTCCCTCCTGCTCTGCTTCGATGAACCTTCGAGGCCTTGGCCAAGCGCATCAGTTCGCGTGCCTTGCGCACAGTGCAGTCTGATCGTGCGTGTCGTCTCTTCCCCCCCTTCTCCAGTTTCCCCGTGCGGCCACGCGCCGGGGTCTGGTGTTGCCAACGGTGTCTGTTGCCCAGGGCGTCCCCAAGATTTCCAGGGAGCCCCCCCACGGCCTCCAGAGCACCGCTCACGAGGCCCAGGACACGGGGGCTCCAACATGGCGAGACAGGCTGGACGCACATGGGACCAGGGGGCCACCTCGGGCAACACCCGATGGGGCGCGAGGCGAAGATCCCAGTGAAGAAGGCCATGACCATCGGCATCGCCGTGGACCACCGCCGCCGCAACCGTTGCGCCGAGAGCCTGCAGGCCGACGCGCCTCCCTCCCCTGGGCGGGGAACGGGGACCGAGGAGGGGGGTTGGGCCGCAGGAGCTGGGGGGGGCTAGAAATCTCTGTTCTGTACGTTTTTCTCTCGCTCCTTTTCCATTCTGTCTTCCCTTCTCTCTGGGTATCCTTGAGCCTGTGCAGACTTGTCTAGCCTGCTCTGGTTTCACCAGCCGTTCGGAGCACATAATCCGCTGTGTGTGTGTGTGTGTAGGAGGGACGGGTGGAAGGAGGGAGGGAAGGAGGGGAGAGGGAGGAGGACGATGAGGAGGTGGAGGATGAAGAGTGGGTGGAGGAGGGGGAGGAGGAGGAGGAGGAGGAGAAGTAGGAGGAGGAGGAGGAGGAGGAGGAGGAGGAGGAGGAGGAGAAGGAGGAGGAGGAGGAGGAGGAGGGGAGGGGGAGGAGGAGGAGGAGGAGGAGGAGGAGGAGGAGGAGGAGGAGGAGGAGGAGGAGGAGGAGGAGGAGGAGGAGGAAGATGAGGCGGAGGAGGAGGCGGGGAAGGAGGAGGAGGACGGGCAGGATGAGGAGTTGGAGGAGGAGGAGGAGGAGGAGGAGGAGGAGGAGGAGGAGGAGGAGGAGGATAATGAGGACGAGTACCACGGATACTAACAAGAGGACTAATCCTTTTCGTAAGAAACATATGATCAAAACTCATTAATGCGACTAACACTACTAACACCAGTACGAATGCTGATAATACTGAGACGAATGCTGCTACTGCGAATCAAACCAATAGCAATAAACACATAAACATGTATACTAATGGTACTATGAAGGATAATGCGAACTACCACTAACACGTACTACTAGTAACATTGCTGCTACCAGTAAGACATCGATCAGTTACGAACACTAGTACTAATGGCAGCAATAATGATAACAAGTATACTCATATAGATCCGACGAATATAGTATGAAGACCAATAATGAGATGGCTGGTATTATTAACATGAAGAGTCGTACTACTACTAATAATACGAAGAGGGGGAGGAGGCGGCGGTGGGACCCCCTCAGCAATCACAGTCAGGGGTTCGATCTTAGATTCTGAGTTCTTCCCAGGGGGCGTGAGACTGAGCACGATCAGGCATGGTCCATCGTAGGGGAATGAGAAGTCATGCCCCCTCCCGCTGCTCATATGCTCTCTGGACCGCAGTGGGATGCAGGCTAGGTGCTCTGACCGTGCCAAGGCATGCAGGTAGGCGAGGTCGCATGGTTCAGTGGTGGTGGATTTTCTGCCGCGTACACTGCAGCGACGTTGACAAATCCGGGTGCCACTGGGTGCATGCAAGGGTCGTCCACCCACTCTGGGACGTTGTAACTTTCTTACCCTCGGAAGGGGTTGCCCCACTCTGAACGCTACTTATGAGATTTCGGAGTGATGAGGGTTTGATCGACAGGCTTTCCCCATAAACCCTCTTCAAACAGGCTACCAGATGAGGCGCCCCCAAGCAAAGGATGTCCCCGCAACCCCGAATGGCTGTCAAATGGCGGCCCGCCTGTAGATCTGGCAGCTTGGTCAGTGATTTCCCTCCCCAGGCACAAGCTGCGGCCGATTCTCAATGTAAATCCGACTGCGTCTCCAGTGCTTGGCACACGCGTGTGTTACAAGGAGGGCT